AAAAATCTTTAAATTTTCCGATTCTGAAATTTATTAAGTAATTGTTTTTATTAACGTTAAGCATATCTAGCAAATTATATCAGCACTAATATACTGTATAACACTAATATTTAGTTGAGCCACCCTCAGCATCATAGCATGCCCTTACCTGATTGGGCATACTATTGACTAGCCCACGATAATATCTGGGTGGAATCGAATTCCAAGTAGCTTTAACCTTTTCTTCCAAATCTTCAATACTTGTAGGTTTATCCAAAGAACTATGTAAACGGCTTTCAACCTCCTGCCAAAGGTTCTCTAATGGGTTCAAGTCTGGGCTCTGCAGTGGCCAGAGTAACATGGAAATATCAGCATTATCAAAAAAATCTATAGCTTTTCTGGATTTGTGAGAGGGCGTATTATCTTGTTGAAAAATGCCTTTTCTATTAGGAACTAGTTGATGTATAGCAGACATAGCATATTTTCTCATAAATTGTGTGTATACTTCACCATTTATACAGCCATAAATTGGAATAATTGGTCCTAATCCATGCTATGAAAAACAACCCCAAAACATACGACCAGGACTACGACTCACAGTAAGAACAAGACATGATTCATCAAATTCTTCAGCAGAGGTACGCCAAACTCTGATATTATGACTTGACGAAAATTGTCTAAAAAAAGACTCATCTGACCAGATGATATTTTGTTATTGGTGAGTCGACCAATGTAAGTGATCTTTATCCCAAGCATATCATATTTTTTTATTTTTTTTAGAAATTAGTGGTTTATGACGAGCAACACATGAACGAAGACCAGTTTTTTTCAAAGCACGACGTATTGTAGAAATGGAGACGGTTTGATTTTTTTCCTTATTCCATAATTCTTGTATTTCACGAGCACTTAGACGACGATGATTAGTATCTTGTGTAACAAGTCTTTTAAGTTCTTCTAGTGCGGGTGTGTCAAAAATAGGCTTTCGGCCTGGACGTTTTTTTACTACGGTAGTTCCTGCTTCTGCACGTTTTAAGATATCATGAACTGTAGTCTTTTCATATTTAACATTTCTAGCGATAGTTGAATATGATTCACCATGATTGTGACTATACAAGATCTCACCTTGTTGTAAAGCGGTTAATTTTTTTTTCTTGGCCATTGAATTATAAAAACCTTAAAGGTTAGAATTATTTTTTAAAGTTCTTTCCTTTTTTTTATAGAATTTTTATTTTAACTTAGTTCATAGTGTCGTAATATTTCAGATTTACTGTCG